ATGGCCAAATATTGACTTCGTGTTGCTCGCGGGTGAAATATTTAATGAATTGTGTGAATTTTGATATTCTATTAATTAATTTAAGAAAGTTGTTTGATTGGTACAAAATTGTTTACAAATTCTTAAAAACTGAAATAAGAATAATATTTTTGAATCTTTGAATAAAGGAAAATATTCTAATAATGATCTAAATTGACTATCTATTAAATTAGATGGCCATTTTTCTTTACATTAAATTGACTAAATTTATTAAAAACTAACCTAAATAATTAAAACTAATCAAAAATCTTTTTATATTTTTAATAATGAAATAACTAATTTTAAATTAGCTTAATAACTAAATTAGTTAATCACTTAACATTAGACTACTAAGGATGCAAATCCTTAATTTGGGTGGATATAAGTAAAAAGGTAAAAAATTTAAGTCCATTTAGGAAGAAACTAACAACCTTAATTACATAATTAAATAAACTATAAAAATAAAATAAAAACCTGATGAAGTAGACGTGAGAGTCCCTCATGATTTGAGGCATTCCAACAATACTATTTTTCTTCAGACTTTTATAACTTCACCAATTTTTATTACAACACTTAAAAATGATTTAATTACATAAAAAACAAAACAACTATTATAATAAAAATGATTTGCCGCGGTGGTTTGTGTGCGGCAAGACGACGCGGCTGTTGACGGTAAGCTGGTTTCGACGCGGGTCGATGGTGATTTGCGGCAGAGCAACGGTGGTGATGAGCGATTGGAGGCGCGGCGGAAACGATGGCGGCGCAACGATGATTATGGTTTTAGAATTGAAACCCCAATCGTCCTCTTTTCAGATCTTCGACAATTGGTTCGTGTTCTTCGTGTTCTCCGTATGCTTAGCATTTATAGGTTAATTTTTAGGGTCGTTACAATTGATTAGCATGAATTAGGGATTAGATTTGTTCCTCATTGATTCTGTATGTTTTGGATTTGATTATTTAAGATTTTTACTGATATTGGATTTTCTGTTTAATTGATTCATTTGTAATTGATTTGATTTTGTTTTTACTATTAATTCCGGATTTGGTTTATTGTATAGATTGAATATTCTAGAGATTTGATTTGTTAAAATATTTAGTTGATTACATTTTTACAGTAAACTGTTAGTGCAAAAACGTGTGTTAATTTAGGTGTAATTGAAATAGTTGATATTTATTAGCATTTTGGGCCATGTGCTGTTATTTTATTACTTAGCCCAACAACATCATTCCTTTTTGCTTACAACCGGGCCCAACCTCATTTTTCCAAACAAAACCTTTTCTAACATAATTTATTAATACTGATTTACACCATTAATTAATGAAAATTTAAACCAACAGTAATTTTGTTCAAAACACAAAATGGGCTATTAGCCATTTTCAGCGAACCTTTTTTTTTAAAATTCAGATTAGGCCTCAATTGTCCTACATAGCAACCAAGTAATTGTAAAAATAATTTCTTTAAATAAACAGTAAAAACGCTAATGGGTTTAGTATTCGTAATTGCATCCCTTATTTTTACTAACAACAATAAATCCTAAAGGACCTAATAATAACTAGAACTTATTGAATTTGAAATAATTTTCCATTTTAGAATCGCACGGGTCAATGGCCTACATGCCTCGCGAATGTATTCACGGATACACGAGTCTTTCTGATTTAGAAAACTCCACTTTCCTGAATTAAAATACACCCCTTAGTTTTAGATAAAGATGGGTCATCAGATACTGCTGTACCATCTTTAATTAAATATTTTTTCTATTTTAAATCTTGAAATTATGATCGTAGAGGTATGACAAATTTGGAGTACGACAATAGCTTAAGTAAATAAATAAATAAATATATATATATATATATATATATATATATATATATATATATATATATATATATATATATATATATATATATATATATATATATATATATATATATATATATATATATATATATATATATATATATATATATATATATATATATATATATATATATATATATATATATATATATATATATATATATATATATATATACCCCTATTTTTATTTCAAAAAGAAGCAGAAAAAAAAGGGGGCAATCCAGAATGATTTTTGATTATAGAAGATTAAATGATAATATATTCGAAGACGGATACTGTATATCTGACAAAGACATTTTAATTAACAAAATATAAGGTAAAAATTGATTTTTTAAATTTGATTTAAAATCAGACTTTTGACAAGTAAAAGTGCATAAAGATAGCATTGAGTGGACAATTTTTTCTTGTCCATTGAGATATTTTGAATGGCTAGTAATGTTATTTGAACTTAAAAATGCTCCACAAATCTTCCAAAGAATGATGGGTAACATTTTTAAAGAAGGTTACTATTTTACTTGTGTTTACATTGACAATGTTCTTGTTTTTTTCTTCTAAATTTGAAAATGAACATCTAGAACATTTATATATAATTTTTTCCTTATTTGAAAAACATGGTCTAATAATTTCAAAAAAAAAAAAATTGAAATTGGAAAAAATTGTCTCTTTTTTAGGGACGGAAATAGGAAATGGAAAGATTAAATTACAACCTCATATTTCTAGAAATTTTTTAGAGTTTTCAGATAAATTGGAAGAATTAAAACAATTACGGTCTTTTTTAGGATTAGTAAATTATGTTAGGCCATATTTCAAAATTTTGTCTAAATTAACTCCCCCCTTATATAATAAGGCACAACAAAAATGAGTTAGAAAATTCAATGATCAAGATATCAAAATAGTTCAACAATTGAAAGAACAAATTAAAGCATTAGAACTATTAACTTTACCATTAGAATCAGATTATTTAATTATAAAACTAATGGGTGTGAATTAGGATGGGGAGAAATCTTAATAAAAAACCCAATGAATTTTCTTTGAAGTCATTAGAAAAAAATTAGTAGATATACTTTAGGAACCTTCAAAGAAAAATGATATTTAACATCCCTTGATTATGAAAATTTAGCTATTATTTACGTGTTGGAAAAATTTGCTTTATTTATCTTACCTAAAAAACAAATTACTATTAGAGCTGATTGTGAAGCAATTGTAAAATTTGCAGATACAAAAAATGAAAGAAAATTAATCTCTAATAGATGACTTAAATTTAGAGAATTTGTCTTAGATAGGAGATTTAAAATAAAATGAGAACATATTAAAGAAAAGGATAATAAAACACCAGATTTATTATCCAGAAAATTGCTACATAATTAACAGTTGTGCTTGAATTTTTCAGAAAAATACAGGAAATTCAGACATTACAAATGGCAGGCAAAGTCATTGACTTTGATATACCCAAATTAAAGACATTTCTCAAAAAGGAACAATTCAAAACACCTATGAGAAATCAGCTCAAAGAAGAAGAAATGTGTCTTTTAGACAACATTTAGAACTTATCCACCACCTCTCAAGGTAACAGTAAGAAAGTAAGTAATAAATACATTATCATCTTATTTTGCTACTGGAAGACATTTGAGCAAGAAACCATTTATTTGCTACACATTATTCACTGGTCCAAAAGTCAGAGTTTATTTAGATTGGGAAGAAATGACCCAATTAATTGAAGAAATTAAATTATTTCCAAGGTATGGTCAACCCTTGTATAAAGTATTCTATGATATAAAAGAAGGCATAGACATGGTAATTAAGAGTTGTGTAAATTATATTATCATATCACCACAAGTTCTTAAATACCAAAATTATTTAAAACACTTGGAAACCTTTGGTGACCAAGATTTTTTACATGAAATTCAAAACATTACTCATAAAGGAAAAGGAAAAAAAGTTTCCTAAAGACCACAAACTCCAGAGAAAGAACAAAAAACTTTCAGTGAAACATTAAATTCTATAAAAAATCATCACAAGTTTAGAAAATCTGGGAAAACCATAAATTCAGACACCTTCCACGACTTCTGTAGAAGAAATGAGAATAAAAAAATTTGTTTTGTTACAAGAAGTCGTGGCCCAAATTTGTAACAACCAAATTATCCACAATAGAATCTCTACTGAATGAGATTTTGTTTACAATAACTATAAACCATGTCAAAACATGTTTGAAGACTTCCCTGAAAATCAAGAGGGTGAATGTTATTGTCAATTAGATTCTGTCATTAGGAAGGCAAAAATCTCTTTACCTACTTTTAAACCCTTCAAATTTATAGATTATCCTTTAAGATTAACCAATTCTCTTAAACATGGACTGATAAGTATAATTAACGTGTCACCATTATATGACTTCACTCCATATTTACCAGCATTCTTAGCTGATACATTATAAACCATAATTTCAGAATTTCCACAAAATGCAAAACTGTAAATAACATCATTATATCCAGATTTTCAAAATAATTGTCCAAGTTGTTATTTAATTTGGTTATATTTCAAGAATATGGATATTGAATTTGAAGAATTCCAAGTGCAAAATTCGGGTCAAAAGATCTTACACTTAGAAGATCTCCCACAACAAGTAGAAATTGCCAGAGCAAAAATAATTTCTAAAGACTTTGGTTGGTTCAAATATAAAATGGATGAAAAAATCACCTAAGAGAAGACAAAACATGGAAAATTTATTGTAATTCAGATATTACAAAAAATTTCTTATTTCCTTTTGAAGTAACACATTCAAGGCCAAAATTGATAGAGGCATACAGGAGAAGAAGCACATCTTGGAGAAAAAAATCAGGATCATCGGAATCTTTACAAGATAATCCATTAATTGTATAAATTATAAAAAAGATACGTCACTAATGACGTACAATTAAACAAATTATTACTAACAAGAAAAATGATGAAAAAGATAAGCATTAAAAGAATAGTTACTTGACCCTTCTAAGATATGTAAGGGTAATCCTGACTCACAAGGATATCAAATGGGGCCTGTCCCTTTCAACTTTTTATCATGTACATTATTGTTAGACAAAGTTAGGTAAAGTTTTTTGTTTGCAAGTAGTGCTTTAGATAAGGTTAGAAAATGATGCTTTATCTTTTCGTAATGTAAAGACAATAATGTATTGTTTCTAGAGACATCCCCTTCACCTATAAAAGAAAACTCTCATCATTTTTTTAAACACGCAATCAAAATATGAAATCAATTAAAATGCTTTTCAATACACCTTACTATAAATTTCCAATTTTACATTAAATTCCTTAGTCTGTCTTCCTTATTACTTCTAAGAGGTATGGTTTTTTAGTAGCTTAATCTTAATAATCTATGTTTATGTTTACGATTATTATTAATCTTTGTTTAACCCACAATCAAAAGACGTAGATCTTGCTTGAACTGAATGTGATCATTAATCTAAGAAAAAATCTGTTAGGAAAGTAAGTACCAAGAGGGGAAAATAGTACCGCTAGGAGTAGATTCTTAGATCTTTGTTCATAAACACAGAAGTTTCTAGAAGAACTCGGTGGTAGTAAGTGAGAGACGAAATGGTGAGGTTCTAGCTTAATCATGGACTATTCAATAATAATAAAAATAAGCTAAAATTTATTAAGATAAAGCAACTAAGAAATCATAATACTCGAAGAAACTAGCAATAGGAAGGAGGAATAAGATTTAAAATCAAATCTTTTCACAAAACATATTTTTGAATAATTTTAATATGAAACCAAACAAAGAAAATTCAAATTTTACAACTCAAAGGTATTTTTCAAATTATTTTGGAATTGATTATTCAGAACCTAATTCAGACAAAACGTTATAAGAATTAATTTTTATCCAAAATTTTGATACAAAGATAACTTATTTACTCCAAAGATTTCCTTATCCGGATTTAATCAAGATTATATTAAAAAATTAAAATTTTCTCATTTAAAAAAAAAATTTTAGAAGATTTACAGGCAACATTAAAAAAAGATATTAAAGAACATGAATTAAGGTGTCTAATTCATGAATTAAACACTTTTACCTCTAATTCTTATTACTTAGATAGTTTTGAAGGATATTTTTATGAAAATTATTCTCAGGTTCATTATAGAAATACACAAACAAATTTAGACTATGATATAAATTTCAATGATGATGGTTATGAAACAAATTAATTAATTTTTATTAAAATAAATATTTTCTTACGAATAACTATGACAATATGGACTTACCCACAAAAGAACAAATTTAAAATAATATAGAAGAATTATTTCAGATTTAGAAAAAGAATTAGAATCTCTTAATTTACATATTAAAAATAGTAATAGGACTATATATTCTTCTTTCTTGAAATTTCAAAAAGACTTAACTCTTCAACAAATCTCTACATTTTACACCATGATTATTATCATAAAAGATGTCTTATCTACTTTGTCAAGGACAAAAAAATCCTTTCTATATTATTAACGCATTTATTATTACACCTATATCATTTATCATTATTGTTACGTATATTACTATATCTACTTACTACATTTATTATACACTATTACACTTTGACTTATCTATTTAAATATTACACTACAAACACTATTACACTTATGACTTATCTTCTTACCTCATTTATTATAGACTTTTATTACACTTATCTATTTAAATGCTATATCACTCTAATATTATATTATATTCTCATATTATACACTTTCATACTATATATGGTATCAAAGCCTGAGATATGTACCATAAATAGAATCCAATATAAATCACCTCAAAACTTGTTTAGATAAACAAGAAAAGAAATTAAAAATTTTAGAACAATTATTAAGAAAAAATTTAAGTTGTAATGAACAAATTTTAATGATCTTAAAGGAGCAGGTAAAAAATAAAACTCCAACTAATGGGTTAGAAGAGTTAAAAGTATCTATAGATTCTTTAAGTGAAAAATTCTCATAAATAAGTATTAAAAGAAAAACAAAGAGTACTAGAACCAAAAACTTCTTAACTTATAATACAGAACAAGTTAAAAAACATTTGAAATGATGAATCCTTTTATTGGCCAACCTAGAACATTAATGGATGAGGAGCATAGTTGTGATACGGTGGGAGAACTGACTTGAGGTTTTGCGTTTCGATCGCATTTGTGCAGATAGAAAGAATCGCCACCGACTTTTCTTTTATCCAAAAGGAAAGGTAAAAAAGCACAGGAAAGACCTTTCAACTTGTTCCAACCTCCTCTTCGTTCTCACCTCCGTTGCTGCTATTTGTATTCATGTACTATCTCTTCTTCTCCTACCCGCTTCTTGTGTTTTACTCTGTTTTGATTTGATGGTAAGTGATAAAGCTTAGGGTTGATCGATTTCAATGCAAGCTACTGTTCTATTTTTGTTATTGTGTTAGGGCTTACTGTATTGCAGTTTATTATGGGTTATACAAGGTTGACGGAAAAGGAAGGTGACAGGTTTGTTGGCTTTGAACGATGATTATATTTTTTTGGTTTTTTTTGGATGATGATTTATTTAGCTGGTCTTCTCAGTTCTATTACTTGTTCACGATTATTTACTGGTTTGTTGGTTTTTTCGTTGATTATATTTTTCTGATTATTTAACAAAAAACATAATATATGCAGATGATAGATTCTATGGTAAATGCAGAGAAGTGATGGAGACTTTACCTTATTGCTGGCTTTTTCTTGACAAGGAAGTTGGCTTCTGTCCTTTTTTTTTCTGTATTCTCTTCCTTTCTGAAGGGTGGTATCAGGAAAATGATGATCAACTTTTCGGGGTTGTGTATGCTTTATTATGTCTCCTCTTGCTGCTGGTTCTCTTTGTGATATCTGGCTTCTCTATGTTTTTTATGTGTATGTGTTCTTGCTGTTACTTTTTTTTGAATAATGAATCTTGTTTTTTTCTCCTCTGTCCCGAATGGCCTCTGTTATATGCTTATACTCTTCATCTGAAAAACAAACTTTTTAGGGGGAAAAGGCAATTGGGGTTTGAACATATTTGTTATGCTACTTTTCCCCTTTCTTGTTGCAGTTCTGACTTGGCCTATTATGTGCAATTTTGGTTGTATGTTTGCAGCTATTTTTGACAGATTTTGGCCTCTTATGGACAACCTATGGAGGGCTGCAATGCAGTCCATTTTTTACAGCATTTTGGCCTCTTGTGATTGTTCTTTTTTACTGTGATGTAAATTATTTTTTAAAGCATTTGAGACCATGATGAACTATTAATTTTGACTTGTATTTCTCCTCATTTTGTCCTTTGTGAACCAATTAATAGATTGTGATTTGCAATGGACCAAACACGGACGGAACATTGCCCCCTTATTTCTGATTCTTCTTACCAACCCCTAATGATGAAAATATAGAGATTTCTTTGAAATTTTCCATTCTTATTCCAACATGAATTTTGCTAACTAATGCTCTTCTTTTGTTTACATGTACGAGCACATTGGATGATAGGGAGAATTGACGAAGAGTGACTTGAAACGCTTGAAGAAAGCTTGATGATGAAGAAATTCCTTTGTAGTTTAGTACTTTGTTAGGAATTTTGTAACATTGTAAATTTGTGATTTGAGTTTTAAGATTTAGAAACTTGTAAAGTGTATATCAATTCCCTTGTAATTTTAAACAATGAGTTCCAATTCACTCGTGAATTTATACAATGAAATTTTGGTGCAATCTTGCATACTTGATTCATCTTGAATTTGTTTCTACAAAGCTTGAATATTCCCTTTTGATACAATTTAAATCATGAGCATAATTTGGATTCTTCTTTTAAAATGCATCTTTAGAAAAGAACGATACTTGAATCTTTGAAACATGCCTTGAATAATGCTTTGTAATTTCTTGTAGACTTGAATCATGAATTCTTACAAACTTGAAATGAATGTCTTGAATTTGGAAATGGAGTTGGTGATGCACTTGCAATTGATTTGAAAGAAAGATTGAAGACTTGAATGAAGATGAAGATGAATGAAGTTTGATGAATTCTTTGAATTCAAAATAGTTCACATGAATGAATTCTTTTTCAAGTATATCAAAATTGCGCCATAAGCATACTGATCCTTTTGAATATCCTGTAAGAATTTTGATAAAAATCCTATTTCGATCCAATAATCATTATCGTCCAAACGCAAACGATTTGAAGTACGAATAACAAACTATCCATGGACTTTCAAACTCAAACTCTTGTTTCAATGAATTATCTCAACGTAATGATCAACATCTAGAAATAACATTCTACAGTCAAGAAATTCCTATAAAATTTCAATAAATTTCATGGTCTTCCAAGCGCATTTTGACTTTTACCGTTGAAGTAATCTCATAGACAATGCTATTTGTGATACTTTGAAAAAAGAATCACTTCATGATATTGAAAATTGAAGAAGTTATGAGCCTCGAAAATTGGACAAGAGTTTCTTGTGATTAGGTCAAATTTGCAAAATGACCTTTAAAGCATTCGAATTTTCTGATGATCTTTCGCACATAATCAAATCTTGACTTGTGAAGAGAAATTGGAGATGACGTCAAGGAGAGTCATACGCAAAAGAAACGCCCAAAAATATTGAATAACGAAGAAGTTACAGTCACTTGAACTTGATGTTGTAAAAGGTCATCTTTTGGGTTAATGGAGTCATTTTCAGTCGTCTGAACCACTGACTGAGCAAACTCACGATACGAGGCTTGAAACTTGGCACAAACATCTTTGATAACACATGAAGGACCATAAAGACCGTTTGAAACTTTGAAAACTCATTTTCTTTTGAGAAATGCAAAACCCTCATTGCCAATTTTACTGCCTCGGAAGAGAATCTGTCTGATCAATTTCTGAGCCAACTTGAATATCTGAGAAACCCTAGGATTGTATCTTGTATGAAAAATGGGAGGGCAAATTTTGGGGTACAATAGCTGCCCCTGTTCAATCTTCTTAAACTTGAAAAGCGAGATCGACGTGTTTGTCGTTCGTGGCTTGAAAGTAGAAGGTGATTGAACACTAGAGTGCCCAGAAATTTGCACTTGATGACGCGCTGGTTGATTGTGTACGGAAATGGGCTTAAAGATTCCATTTGGAGAAACAAAGGAGAATTGTCGGAGATGGGCTTATAGATGCCATCCAAAGGTGATTGTTGACGGAAAGTTTGAACTTGATCTTTTTTTTTAACAGAAAATGAATCAGAATAAACCGTTGAGATATTTATCTGAAATAGTAAAAAAAATATGGAAACGAATCAGGATAAACCGTTGAGAGATTTATCTGAAACAGTGAAATAATTTGGAGACGAATCAGAATAAACCGTTGAGATATTTATCTGAACCAGTGAAAATCTAGAAACGAATCAGGATAAACCGTTGAGAGATTTATCTGAAATTGTAAAAATCTGGAAACGAATCAGGATAAACTGTTGAGAGATTTATCTGAACCAGTGAAATAATCTGGAGACGAATCAGAATAAACCGTTGAGAGATTTATCTGAACTAGTGAAATAATCTGGAGACGAATCAGAATAAACCGTTGAGAGATTTATCTAAACCAGTAAAATAATTTGGATACGAATCAGAATAAACTGTTGAGAGATTTATTTGAACCAGTAAAAATCTGGAGACGAATTAGAATAAACCGTTGAGAGATTTATCTGAACTAGTGAAATAATCTGGAGACGAATTAGAATAAACCGTTGAGAGATTTATCTGAACCAGTGAAATAATCTAGAGATGAATCAGAATAAACCATTGAGAGATTTATCTGAACTAGTGAAATAATCTGGAGACGAATCAGAATAAACCGTTGAGAGATTTATCTGAACCAGTGAAATAATCTGGAGACGAATCAGAATAAACCATTGAGAGATTTATCTGAACCGGTGAAAACCAGCCTTTTCTCAGAAACTGATATGTATTTGACTTGTTGAAAATTTGTGTATGTCGAAAGTTTGTCGATAATAACTGTCTAATGACTCTTTCCTGCAAAAGGGTGAAGAGTTAATTGTATGTAATGCTATGATGTATGCGATTCATGGTGTGATGTTTGCCTCTCAAAATAAATGAGATTACATTGTATGTACTTGAGTTGTCAATGTTATGATGTATGGATGCAAATGTATGGAATTAAAGATTATTTGTGTCGTAGCGTTGCTGGAAGCGGGGAAAATAAATCCCTTTTGAAGCACTGATGGGTAAGTTTCCAAGTATAAACTCTGTTGTAGAAGGGAAAAGCCAGACATTGCTTGCAGTCTTCGTGAAATCCTGCTGGGGAAATCTGAGAAGTTGGGCAACTTACTGGGGACACTCTGGAGCGGTGGTTGGAAGTTTTATTCTGTCAGGAATATGAGAACGCTTGATACCAACAGGCTGCATATTGGGGATATGTTAGCGATTCTGTAGTAGGATGTATTTGCTTTCGCTCCTGCTGGGAAAGGTACCCGCAGGGGTTTTATGGAATGGCTTATAGATATTATCATATTTCTTAAAGTCATTAGCAATTGCCTTTCCGTTTCTTTTTGTTTATTTGTAACAGTAATCACGCTCAAATTCATATGTTCAAAAATAAATCATTGGACGTTTTTGTAAATAAAACATAGAAATAAAGAAAAACAGATGGTTTTGCACTTTCAAAAGGGATATCTTTGTATTAACTTGAATAAGTATTTTTTGTACAATGAGAAGAGCATTCTAGCGAGAAAATGTCGTCGTAAAAATGAAAATTGATACAGAGAAAAGATAGCTATGTGAAATAATCCCATGGGGTTCCCATTCTGCTATAGTCTTCATGTCTCTGAATGTCTTATCCGCTTGTTGCCTCGGCGAAGTCGATTGGATTGATTTAGAGTCGATTGAGTTGATTGGTCGAAGCTGAAGATTGTTTGCAAGATGATCCAACGGGACATAGTCATACCCTTTAATCCTTAACTTTTTCCTGGACCGCCCTCTCGGGTTTTCAGTCCACCGGGATACCCTTTTTTGCCCAAGCCGCCCTTTCAGGTTTTCGACTTGCCGGATGTACATATTTTTTTATATTTATTTTTCATCCCTTATTTTTGCCCGGACTCTTTTGGTTCGCCGGGAAGCCCTTATTTTTTCCTAGGCCAGTCAACCTAGCGGGTCTTCGATCATGCGTAGTATCTTTTAACTATGTCCGTATTTACAGGGTGCGGGAGGTCGTCGCCATCCATAGTGATCAAGATCATTGCTCCACCATAGAATATGCTTTTGATTACAAACGACCCTTCATATGTAGGAGTCCATTTGCCCCTGGGATCACCTTGTGGCAAAATGATACGCTTGATTACCAAGTCATCGACCCGATATACCTGACGTTTGACCTTTTTGTTAAAAGCTTTGATCATGCGTTTTTGGTACATCTGACCATGACAGATAGTTGTAAGCTTCTTCTCATCAATCAAGTTTAGTTGGTCAAACCGAGTTTGAATCCAATCTTCTTCATTCAAACCAGCATCCTTCATGATTCTTAGAGAGGGGATCTGGACCTCAATAGGCAAGACAACTTCCATGCCGTATACGAGAGAAAAAGGTGTTGCCCCAATTGATGTGCGAGCTGTGGTACGATGCCCGTGGAGAGCGAATGGTAGAATCTCATGCCAGTCTTTGTATGTGACTTTCATTTTCTAT